CTTCCTCACATCTTCTTCTTTGGGAAACCTTCAAAATGAAAACAGGACATTTGTGTCTACACAAAAACATTGTACAGAGGAGGTCAAGCTTATTTTCTATTTCCTATATTCTCCCTAGTTTTATTTTTTATATCCTAGAACTTAAGCAAAACTCCAATTATGATACATATCTGTTGATAATGAACCAAAGCTGCTGAAACAGTGAGTATGCTTGTTAGCAAAATATTCCTGTCATCAGATCTCAGTCAGCTTCATTGCAGCTGAACACCGTGTTACACTGAACATCACATCAGCTGGTGGACATAAATACAGTACAGTAATATTATATTCACAAAATACTAACAATAATATGTTCATCTTACTGTGAAAAGTTATCCCCCGAGACCTGACGTCAACAGTCGATTAGAACAGAAATAAGCTGCGAAGTGCTGAGACATCTTCTGATTTAACAAATAAGGACGACCGTTTCAAGATGGCGGCCGAAAATCCTGCGCGCAGCAGCCAATGAGGCATCTAGTGATTATATCTATGAAATTACCGAGCCGGACTAAAATGCATCGACAAAACCGCCATCGAGTTCAAATCTCGCGGGACTTCGACGCCCTGCGCTGTGAAATCTTTTTCTTCTTCTTTGGTTTTTCACAGCAGCTTGCATCCATCATTGTTGCACTACTGCCATCTCTTGGTGTTTGTAAATTAATTCCTTTCCTCAAATTCTCTTCTCGAGTCCAGTATTATTCAAAAAATGAAATATCTTTCTTTTCCCTTCATCACTATTCAGCTGAACAGCCACATTTTCAAACTTTAGTTCCCTATTACAACCTATTTCTACACCCAACAATCTTCTTTGACCCACAGATTTCCTGCAACTAATAAAAGCATGTTCTATTGTTTCTGTGGGATTACACCAGTCACATAAACCAGTAAGATGTTTCCCCATCTTAAAAAGAGGGCCATTCAAAAAACTATGCCCAGTTTTTATTCTATTTATAATGATCTCCTCCCTCCTATTTATTCCTCGGACTCTTTTAACATCAACTGTATTCTGTATGTTATATAAATGTCTCCCTTTTGTCTCGTTGTCCCAGCTCACTTTCTATAATTTCTTGCTTTCTTTCCAAACTTTCCTTTTGCCTTCAGACTTAGATAACTTTATTGATATATCTTCTTTTTTAACAGCTTCTTTAGCCAACTATCTGCTCTTTCATTACCTAAAATACCTAAATGAGCAGGAGTCCACATTATTACTATAGTTTTGTTTTGTTCACATATGATGAACAAACAGAATCTCATACAAGATGTGTTGCTGATTACTTGAACTAACCTTTTCAATGCTGAATAATGCTGATAATGAATCACTGCAAACTATAATTTCACTTATTCTACCATCCTCCACCCATTCTAAAGCCAATAAAATAGCACATAATTCTACTGCACATATACTCAGAAAGTTAGATGTTCTTATTGAAAGCTTAATCTTTAATTCAGGAATCACTGCCGCTGCACTAGTTGCTGCAGTTTTTGGATCTTTTGAAACATCTGTATAGATTTGCAAATAATCATTATACTTATTCTGTACTCGATCATAAATTCTTGACAAACATCTATAGTATTTCTTTTCTTAATATTTGATAACGATAGATTACTGTATTTCCATGTCCATGTAGGCCTTAAAGGCCATAATACTGTTGGGTTGAATTCTTTGTTATATACTTTAAATGTTCTTGCTAAATTATCCCCAATCCACCCAAAACTATTTTAAGCTCCTTTCCTCTTTCCCAACAATGTTCTAACACTTTCTTAACTGGATGATTTTCATTGTGTCCTTTCAAATGTATCCAATAATTTGCCATTAACTGTTGTTTTCTAGTGCATAATGGCATTTCTCCACATTCTACTTGTAGAGCACAAACTGGAGTTGATGTTACTGCTCCTTAACAAATTCTCAGTGCTCCAGCTTGGATAACATCTAATTTATTTAACCGAGTTTCAGCCGCTGATCCATCCACCACACTCCCATAATCTATTCTTGACTGAATTAATGACACATAAATATGTTTAAGTGACTCAAATTTAGCTCCTCGTGTCAACCCTGCTAATCACCTCATTATGTTTAGTACCTTTTTACCCCTCTATACAATATGCTCTATTTGATTTCCCCAAGTTAATTCCTTATCAAAAACTACTCCCAAAAAACAAAAATAATCAACCCTTTCTAACTCTTTTCCATATAACTTTTTATTAACTTTGATTTTTTTTACTTGTGAAGAACATGACTTTTGTCTTTTCAACTGAAAATCTGAAGTCCCACTCTGTTCCACACTTACTCACTTTATCTATCACGTCCTGAAGTTTTAAAATAAGATGTTCCACATTTACCCCTTTTCCATAACGCTCCATCATCAGCAAAAACTGGTTTACCATAACTTAAAGATAAATCTTTGAAAATATCATTAATCATAACTGAAAATAGTGTGGGGCTTACCACACTTCCTTGAGGAGTTCCATTTTCTATTTTACATTGTTGTGATACATGCGATCCTATTTTAACTTGAATAGTTCTGTCACATAAAAAAATCCTTTAACCAATTAAACATGTTTCCTCCTATTCCTGCCTGATGTAATTTAATCATGAACCCTTCTCTCCACAACATATCGATGCTTTTTCTACATCAAAACACACAAACAACAGTTTCCTTATTAATCTGAGCTTTTCTAACATCGTCCTCTAAACATCAAATAGGATCCATTGCTCCTCTTCCTCTACAAAAACCACTCTGAGTGTGTGCAATTATGTTTCTTGACTCCAAATAATGCATCAATCTGTCGTTCACCATCCTTTCCATCAATTTACAGATATTAGAGGTTAAAGCAATTGGTCTGTAATTCCCAGGATTACTGTGATCTTTCCCACGTTTCTTTATTGGGATAATAATTGCTTCTTTCCATCCACATGGTGGACGCCCTTCTCTCCATATCTTATTAAATAATATTAATAATTTATCTAATGCTTTATCACTTAATTTTTTAACATATTATAACATATCTCATCTTTCCCTGGTGCACTGTTCCTAGTTTTATCCAAAGCTCTTTTCAATTCTCCCATAGAGAAAGGACAGTTCATCAGATCTTCATTAATATTCTCTTTTCTTCTTAAAGCTTCTACATTTCTTGATTTCATTCTCTCCCTTCTCTGTTTTTCATCATCCAATAAATTTTCCCCACTATGTATTTCCACAAAAGTACTTGCTAAAATATCAGCCTTTTCTCTATCAGTTATTGCTATTTGATTATTTTTATTAAGTATTGGATAACTCCATTCTCTTCTGTCTCCTCCATTTTTTTGATCATTCCCCAAACTTCCCCTATTTGTGTCCTACTACCAATTGTATCACAAAAGTCTCTCCAATAAGTTCTCTTTGCTCTTCTTATTGTACTTCTTACTTTTGCCTGTGCTTTTTTATATTCAATTAGATGTTGAAAGTTGTGGGACCTTTTGACAAGTTTAAATGCTTTATTTATTTCTCTTACTGCAGTTTTACACTCAATATTCCACCACAGAACTAACTTCTTCCTAGCATTCCTTTGAGCATGCATCAGGATAACTTCTTCCTATTTTTCCCTGAAGTCTTTGGAATAGATTCCTCAGCAGCTGATAAAATGCTATGACTCATTCTTTCAATACTCCAATCATTTTGAACATTTAAAAGTTTTCTTTCACATAAATACTTGTATTTTTCCCAATTTACTTTCCCAAATATCCACTTTCCTCCTACCAGTTCAGGAGTCTGTATCTGGCCCATCCTTATATTACTGGTTATAATCTAATGATCACTACCAAATGATTTATTTATTACTTGCCATTCACATAATGGAGCCAAGCAGCAAGAGGCAAATGTTAAATCTAATACAGATTCCTTACCAGAATTAATATCTATTCTTGTCTTTGCTCCATTATTCAAACATACAAGATTTTTATCATCCAAAAATTCTTCTAATATATTACCATTATAATCTATTTTACCATTATAATCTATTTTACCATTATAATCTATTTTCTCACTGCCCCATAGTGAACGATGTGCATTAAAGTCTCCACACCAAATAATATTGTCTTTCATACCCATCTCCTCCAGTTGACTTAATTCAATCTTTTTGCTGGGATTGTCCATCCATCCATTTTCTTTACCCGCTTATTCCATTTTGGGTCACGGGGGTCGCTGGTGCCCATGTCCAGCAATCACTGTGCGAGGGGCGGGGTACACCCTGGACAGGTCTCCAGTCCATCACAGGGACACATAGAGACAAATGAGACAAACAACCATTCACTCTCTCACTCACACCTAGGGACAATTTAGAGTTTGCTGGGATTGTAAAAATGTATAATCATTATTTCCTTTCCTTCTATCCATATTTCAATTGCTACATATTCTAAGTCTCCTTTCCTTTCAATTATTTAATATGGAGTACCTTCTTTAATCAAAGAAAGACACCCACCTCCATTTCCTTCTTTTCTTTCAAATCTAACTGCAATATATCCATAAACTGTAAAGTTTAAAGAATCCTTCAAACCGTTTCCTGTTTACAGATTATATCAGGTTTTTCTGTCTGATCATAAATAAACTGTTTAAAATCTGGACCATTTGACAAAAGACTCCTTGCGTTCCACTGCAGGATGAGGATTGTGATCAAAACGAGCCACATGATCCTTCTGGACTTGCTTCACTACGCAGCTCTCTGCTTACATCTTCCCATCGGATGTTCTTCATATCTAAACTACGACAAGCTGCCTTCACAATGATCTGAATTCTTTCTGTCTTACACTTCACGTCTGTTGTTGCTTTTATTACTCCTGCTACAAAAGTCACCATCTTCTTCTTCTCTTCCTCTATTTTCCTTTCAACCATTTCCATAACCTTTTGGATTACCTGTTTCTCCTCTATCCTAGGTTTTCTGTTCGGCTTCTGTTTTTCAGCCATTTTACATGCTTCTGCATATGTTACTTTCTGCACAACTGTTTGCTGCTTCATCACTTCACACCCCCAGAAAGCAAAGCTATGCTCTCCTCCACAGTTGCAGCATTTTGGTTTAACTCTCAACTCCACATTTTCCATATTCATGATCTCCAGATCATCGAGCACATCTCCCGTTTCTTTTACACATTTTAAAAAAATCCAAATTCCTGCCAGTTGAAACATCTCACTGGTTTAGGTGCAAACTCCCTGACACTGAATCTTAGCAACACAAAGAAAACGTCCTTTTCACATCTTTTGTCTCAAACTCCACCAGCACAGTTTCTGTTTCAACTTTCTCTGGACCTCTAGTCGTCTTCTTGCTCATTTTACTTCTTTATTTTTTGCTTTAGATTCTCAACCAGTTCTTTCATATTTACATTTAGAGGTACTCCTACGATGACTCCTCTACTTCCATTATTTCTTTTTTCACCTACTCTTACAACAGTTTTAACTTTAACTTTGCACACCCACCCAATTGTCCTCGCTTTTCCACCTGAACATCTGTACTGCACCCAATCAGAAGATTTCCATCTCTCAGTATTTTTGCATATTTGACTTCTCCAACTTGTGTTTTAAGTGTTTTGTGAACTTCAGTGGGTCAATTTTCTTTACTCCCTCCTCTTCTTCAAATCTTATTATAACATTCATGGATGGATTTTTTGACACATCTGCTCTTTCTTCGTTACCTTCACTATCAGTTCCTTCTGAACGTTCCTCATTTCTTTTTTCTTTCACTAGCTCTCTGTTTCTTTCCACTCTTTCTCTTCTTTTTGACCGTCCATCTCTTCCTCTTCACTATCATCCATGCTATTCCAATGGCTTCTTTCTAATTCTACTGATGCCATGTTCTGACATGAGCCAAACAAAAGTTCAGTTTCCAGCTTGTCTCTGCTGCAGTCATCCAGGACTGCTTGACAGCTCCGAGTCAGGGGCAGGTTCAGGATTTATTCCACCTTTGAAATTATTCCTCCAAATCTCTCCATTTTGTCCTTTTGAATTTTCAAAGCTGCCGCCTGATTGTCTCCATCACTCCCTCAGAGCGCCTCCTCCTCCTCCACCCTGCCCGCCCTGCGCTGTGAAATGAGATCTCGCGATACTTCTGTACTGACGGAGGGGGCGGTGTTCAGCGGAGATGTTTTGTTTTTTATACATATATATATAAAATTATTTATATAAATTAAAATGGCCGCCGTGGGGAGCGGAGCGGACAGAGCGTAAGTCGTCTTTATTTCATCCTCCGTTTCGTCGCAGCTGCTGCCGCCGCATCTGAACCGAGCCCGAACAGTTTGTTATTGTGCGTTTTATGGAGGGGAAGTGCGCTGATTTAAATCCCGGCCCGTCTCCCCCGAGCGGGGTTAGGGGGGAATACGTCACAAGCTCAGGGTGGACTCGAGCTTTAGCCTAGCCGCTGTTTCAACGCACCTCGGGCCGCTCCTCACCCCACACAGCTCCCGGGACGGGGCCTCAGGGAGGCCGGAGGGCCGCGGCTGGAGCTCCGAGCGACAGCGGAGCCTCCAGCCGGTAACGGGCCGCTCATCCGTGACCCCGGGTAAACCCGGTTAGCCTGTTAGCAGCCAGCTGCTGTTGGAGTGCCGCTGAGCAAAACCGGACTTGTACATGAGAGCGCGCGTGTATGCATCCTAGTTTACTCAGGTGTTCACTTCCTTTTCCGGCAGAAACTTCCACCTGTAGCTGTGTTTTTACAACAAACAACAACAACACAAACAACACAAGTTATTAACACAACAACAATACCTAACAACAAACAACAACAACAATACCTTACAACAAACAACAACACAAGTTATTAACACAACAACAATACTTTACAACAACAACACAAGTTATTAACACAACAACAATACCTTACAACAAACAACAACAACACAAGTTATTAACACAACAACAATACCTTACAACAAACAACAACAACAACACAAGTTATTAACACAACAACAATACTTTACAACAATAACACAAACAACACAAGTTATTAACACAACAACAATACTTTACAACAACACAAACAACACAAGTTATTAACACAACAACAATACTTTACAACAAACAACAACAACACAAACAACACAAGTTATTAACATAACATTACTTTACAACAAACAACAACAATAACACAAACAACACAAGTTATTAACACTACAACAATACTTTACAACAAACAACACAAGTTATTAACACAACAATACTTTACAACAAACAACAACACAAATTATTAACACAACAACAATACTTTACAACAAACAACAACAATAACACAACCAACACAAGTTATTACACATTATTTTACAACAAAACACAGCAACACTTTATTAACACAACATAAAACATTGCAAAAAGTTTACAACTAAAACAACAAAACAACATCACAAGTTATTAACACAACAAAATAAAACATTGCAAGAACTTTACAACTAGAAGATAACAACAAAACACAACAATACTACATCACAAGAACTTAACAAGTCAAGTTTATTTATAGAGCACATTTAAAACAGAACCCGTTTTTTTCTCTTTAATTTACTTTTGTTTTTGATTTTTGTTGTTGTTCATCACTTTGATAACAGGTTCTGTTTTAAATGTGCTCTATAAATAAAGTTGACTTGACCTGTTATCAAAGTGCTTAACAACAACAACAATCAATGGGAGTAAAAATAAAGAGTAAAAAAATACAATACACTAATAATAATAACTGAAGAATTAATAAAAAGCATTTAAAACATGGGGTCACAGATTAAAAACACTGGATCAATTTACACTGTGTGAAATGTTTGAGAGAACAGATGAGTTTTAACAGAGACTTGAAGTGAGGAAGGGAGGTGTCCTGCCTGATGTTGGGGGGGGGGGGGGGGGGGGGAGGTGGAAGGGAGGTGGCCTGCCTGATGTTGGGGGGCAGGTTGTTCCAGAGTTTGGGGCCCATGACTGAAAAAACCCGATCTCCTCTGAGCTTCTTGTTTTTGGAACAGCCGAAAGCAGCTGATCAGATGATCTCAGGGCCCGAGAGGGAACGTAAGGTTCCAGAAGCTCAGAGAGGTAATCAATCAACCTTTATTGCTACAGGTAAATCCCATTGAGCCTCGAGGACTCATTTACAAGAGAGACCTGACTTAACAAAGAAAGATGACAACAATGGACAACAGCAACAACAATAAGCAGTTATAAAAACTCATACTACAGTTTTTTTTTGTTTGTTTTTTAACAAATAGGATGGCTAAAAGGAAAAAGGTAACAAAACAAAAAACAGCTAGATTCCAAGACAAATGTAGAAAACTAAAAACAGGAACATGTCTGCATTGGTCCCTGCCAGGAGTCCAACAGATTCTTAAAGACACTTAGAGAGGTCAAGGTCGAGAGCTTCAAATCTAAAGAGTAAAGAGATGTAAAGGGGTGCGAGGCCATTTAAGCATTTGAAGGTCAACAGAAGAATTTTAAAGACTATCCTCGTACGAACAGGGAGCCAGTGAAGGGAGGACAGAACTGGAGTAATATGTTCAGATCTACGAGTTCCGGTTAAAAGCCAAGCAGCAGCATTCTGGACGAGCTGAAGACGTGAAATAGAAGCCTGGCTGATCCCAGCATAGAGTGCGTTGCAATAGTCCAATCGGGTCGTGACAAAGCCATGGACTAGTTTCTCAAGGTCGGGTCTGGACAACACTGGCTTGAGCTTAGCTACCTGTTACCAAGGAAACAACAAAAACAAAACATGTTATTAACACAACAAAATAAAAGATCACAAAAACTTTACAAGAAGAAAACAATGAAAGTTAACAACAAAGTCCATGCTCAATAATCCAGGTATACAATCCAACATTTTTCAGTCAGGTCATCTGGACAGTTTCTTTTTTTGTGCTAAAACGTTTCGCCTTCGGTCCAGAAGGCTTCATCAGTCAAGGAAACACACAACAAAACTGATTCTTCCCTCAAACAGCTTACTCCAACAATGAAAGTTCTAAAAAAGTTAAGTCAGGTCCTCTGGACATAAAAAAAAATGTAGAAATGTTTCATCTTTCATCCGAAAGACTTCCTTAGTCTGAGGTGCTGTATTCAGCTCAGTCTCTTAAATAGCACCTTCTCAGAGTGGATCAACCAGTTTGCTGCTGACAACCAGAACCAGCTGATCACATGCTCAAGAAGGACCATCAGCCTAACAATGGATCATTAGCACCTGATGTCTGTTTACTGTTCACAGAGGGCTGAGTGATACTAGCAATCACAGCATTGTAAGAGGGGGACAGTTGAACCCGGAGGCCTCCACCCCTGTTTAATGATGGACGGTTTCTTTTCACAAAGATGGCCTCCTTTACTCCTCTCTCAAACCATCGTTCCTCTCTGTCCAGGATGTGAACATCTTCATCCCTGAAAGAGTGACCGCTGGCCTGGAGATGAGTGTAGACCTCAGAGTCCTGGCCTGATGATGTTGCTCTTCTTTGCTGGTCCATCCTTTTGGCCAGTGGCTGGTTAGTTTCCCCGATGTAGGACTGATCACCCTCCTGACACTGAACAGCATACACAATATTACTCTGTTTGTGCCGGGGGACTGGATCTTTGGGATGAACCAGTCTTTGCCGTAATGTATTTTGGGGTTTAAAAGCCACTGGAACGGTATGTTTAGAAAAAAATAAACGTCTCAGTTTCTCTGATACTCCCTCAACATATGGAATGACCATTGGTCTGGGTTCCTCCTTTTCACCTGTTGGCTGACTGGAGTCCTGTTTGGGTTTCTTCTCTGCTTTCAGGAAGGTCCAGTTAGGATATCCACATTGCTCTAGTCTAGAGCCTCTCTTGTGTGGGATTTCTCCTTCTGCCTGGCTCCTGAGTTTAGTGGGGACGCTGTCTGCTCTGTGGTACAGAGTCCTGATGACTCCTAACTTGTGCTCCAAAGGGTGATGGGAGTCAAACTGCAAATACTGGTCAGTGTGGGTGGGTTTGCGGTACACCTCAGTTTGTAGTATTTCTTCCACCTCCCGACAACATCACTGGTTGAGGGCAACAGCAGCCCACCTTCACTGAATACAGTGTTAGTCAAGTGCTGCTTTCCCCACAGCGGCCACAGCTCAAGGCAGCCACCTCAACAAGTGAGGTGCGGAACATGGCCCACTCGGACTCAGTATTCCCCACCTCAGCTGGGATGCGGTTAAATCTCTCCCGGAGGTGCGAGTTGAAAATCTGTCTGACGGGTTCTTCTGCCAGGTGTTCCCATCAAACCCTCACTACACGTTTGGTCTACCAGGTCTGTCCGGCATCTTCCCCTGCCATCTGATCCAAGTCTCTACCAGGTGGTGATCAGTTGACAGCTCAGCTCCTCTCTTCACCCAAGTGTCCAAAACAAACAGCCGCAAATCAGATGACACGACTATGAAGTCAATCATCAATCTACGACCTAGGGCGTCCTGGTGCCAAGTGCACTTATGGACACCCTTATGTTCAAACATGGTGTTTGTGATGGACAAACTATGTCTAGCACAGAAGTCCAATAACAACAGCTCGGGTTCAGATCAGAGAGGCCGTTCCTCCCAATCACGCCCCTCCAGGTCACACTGTCATTACCCATGTGGGCATTGAAGTCCCCCAGCAGAATAAAGGAGTCTTTAGCTGGTGCACCTTCCAACACCCCTGCCAATGACTCCAAAAAGGCCAGATAGTCTGAACTGCCGTTAGGTGCATAGGCACAGACAACAGTCAGCCCGTCCCCCCACCCGAAGGCGAAGGGAAGCTACCCTCTCATCTACCGGGGAAAACTCCAACACACAGGCACCAAGTCGGGGGGCTACAAGTAGACCCATACCAGCTCGACGCCTCTCACCATGGGTAACTCCAGAGTGGAATAAGATCCAGCCCTTCTCAAGGAGATTGATTCCAGAGCCCATGCTTGTGCGTCGAGGTGAGTCCAACTATATCTAGTCAGTGCCTCTCAACCTCACGCACAAGCTCAGGCTCCTTCCCCACGTTCACGTTCCATGTCCCAAGAGCCAGCTTTGGTAAGCCAGGGTCAGAGCGCCAAGGTCCCCGCCTTCGGCCACTGCCCATGATATCACGCACCTTATGGCCCTTCCTGCAGGTGGTGTGTCCACAGGAAGGAGTCCAGCGCCTTGATGGAATTATTACCTCCGGACTGTCAGGGTTTTAATGCCCCACGGCCTTCAGGCCGCCGCAGTGGTGGATTATTAACAGTCTTTAAACCAAACTTTGCCTTTAA